TGAGGAGTCGAGGCCAGAATCAGAATCAGGAGGCCTTGGCTCTCGTCTCCGGTCTCAGGTTGCCAGCCAACCCTCCACCAACGAATTGCGGGAGAGTTGAGAGGCAGTAGCAGTGGTATCCTGGAATATCCTGGCTCGAGACGCGAAGATAACCGCCGTTCGCTCCTTGGGGGGTGGAAGGACCGCCGAAAAGTAACCCCGAACCACACCAAGGATATTCCGCCGAATCCACTCTCTTCTTCGCGTACTTTTTTCTTTCGTGGACGATTTAACTTTTTGTTTGGCCAGCAAACGACGCGGGGTGGAAAAGCGCTGGCGGCAAGGAGTTCCGCTTTCCATGAATGAGTGAGTGAATTTTCTCCCACCGCTGAATCATAGATGCCGGGCAAAACGTGGATATGCAACCCAAAAAAAAAATAGAAAACCAACAAAAAAATAAGTACAGTAAAACTTGCAATATTTATGAGTTACGAGGGCAGCAAAAAAAAAAAAAAAAAAACAAAGCTATCTAGATAAATGGGTTTCTTGGAAACCGATTTAATGGGAAGTCCATTACTTACAAATTGAAAAAGCATTTGCTTTCACTAGAAAAGAGTTAACAGTTTTGTATGATTCATTCAACCACTTTAGCAATTTTACTTCGATTTCATTTCATGTCGGAATATTCCATTTTTTAGAGGTTTTCAGTCCAATTTCAAAGTGACATACTTTTGCATTACTGTGAGGAAATTTCCAAAAATCGTGACTTGAATTTTTATTCGGTGAATTCACTTATTTAACTTAACTGAAGTACAGTTTTAAGACTATTTAAAAAGTCGCTTTCCATTAAAAGTACTTCACTTTCATTCCCCCTCTTGGCATTTTCCCTCTTTGCATTTTCCACGCTCTTTAACGCTCAATTATATATTACATCGATTGAAATTGTTTGCCGAAACAGAAATTTAAATTTGTATGAAAGTCCTGGCGACAAGCGGCGAAGCAGGCGATTAAAAAACAGTTTATAAATCATCGATGTCAGTGGAAATTGCTTCCCCCTGCAGTTTCCTTACCGACCAACTCCCGAATTGTTATATCCTCGAAATCTGCATATGGATGGCAGAAAATTACGTACTTAACTGTGGGTTGCCGCATGCAGTTTCTTCAAAAGGGGTTCCAACCCCGCTGCAAGATCTACTCGGTTCCGTTTCACTTCCTTACAGGAAAACCCATTTCAATTATTATTAAAATTTCTTATTTACATTTCTATTGAAATGAGGAGAGAATATCGGAACGGGGAAAGCGCACCTAAGGTACTAACAAAACAAACCTGAAGGCTGAAAAGATTTGGAACTGTTTTTACAGCCAACGTGAAGAAAATTGGGAAAGCATAAAATGTAGCATAACTTTAACTACCAAGGGTAGTTAAGTCGCTACCATATCATTGTCCTGCTGCCGACTTATTGTTATTGCCCCGAATCCAATTCAGATCTCCTCGAGCTGTCTTCGCATCCCCCAGGAGAACCGAAGTTAACGTCCTTTGATCCATATGCGTGCGCTTTGTTTGAACGCAAACTGGAATTCGAAATTTGGCATTCGAGCAAATAATAATGAAAGGATCTCGGGATGCTTTTTGTGCTTATCTAGGGCAGCGGGTTGTCTCCTTAACGAGTCCTGTTTGGGTTGCCCTTCATTGTCTGTCTTACAAAGTTCTGTAAGCAGTTCGGTAAGTAGAACAAGCTAAATGGAACAAAGGAGCTTGATTTATGATCTATAGAGATAAATAGATGGAGCTGAATGTTGAGCTACTGGTTTGATAGACGAAGTGTGGAAGAAGAATACCCCCAAGGGAGGATCATCTTAGGTCAGTTTTCAAATAAAATGAGGTTTGCCTCGTCTTTTATTTTATATATGTGAACTTTTTGTTTTTTAAAGTACATATTATAAATTATTCCTTCCCTTGTAATATTTCAACTTGACAAAAGCCAATTTCCATAACTATTCCTCCCTTTTATTTTCTTAGGATATCAATTGTTACTAACAGATATTTTAAATAGTTCTTAACCTCATGAAAACCAATTGTACAGTTTTCAATGGATCCCGATTGACTCCGGGTCTCTTTAACTTTACCACTTGAACCCATCTTAAACTTTCATTTATAACCATCAAATCTTCTCATATAAGATCACTTTTGTGCTGACTCATCTCGACACCACTTGATGCTCCGCACTTTGAACCCTGAGATGTCATAACAAGAGTCTAATTATCCAAATGACAAATGATCCGAGGAAACTGCATTTTCTTTCCGGACCTTCTTGAAGAAAACTTTTTCAAAATTTTGATGAATTAACCTTAATTTCCTGTGTCAATGGCTGGCGGCATTTTGAACCTAACACTTTCTTTTTTTTTTGCCTCGGGCTAGAACGAGTTCTTCCCAATGGATCCTTTGTTCAAGGATTTGCACGTGTGCACAAATTAGCAAAAACTGGTTACAAGGCATTTGCCTTCTGTTTTCCGATCGAAGGAAAACGGAGAAACTGGTTTTTCCAGCGGGGCGCTTTTACTCGGCATTGTTCTAAGAGGATAAGGTTCACAAAGGAGGAAAAACCAGATGGGCAAGAAAAATTATGAAAATTCCATTGTTTTCCTCGGGTTATTTGTTGGCCTAGCGGGGAGTATTACGGGTCCTTTCCCTCCTCCCTCTTTTCCCTACCAGCTTGAAGTCGGTGAGGTAATAATTAAGGAATTAATACGAACGAAATCGAAGGGGAAGCTAGTTTTCCCATCAAAAAAGCTGATTGGAAGATCTCTCCTTGGCAATCCAGTTTCAGCTTGAGTAACTCCACTCAGAAGCTTCCCTAGCAACAACCCCATTCCATGACTCATTAGAAATCCCGAATTTGGAACACGTGGTTCTGAGGAAATTCCATCGAATCAACCGAAATGAAATTCCCTTTCCATTCAACAGGACTTGGAACAAAGGGAATTTGAATAACTTTGGCTCCGTTGTGTTCCATCATGTAAAGGAATTAAAAAAAACCCTTTAAAGAACCCGGGATCACTGTGCAAAAAACTAAGGGAAAACAATATTCTTGTAAGAAAATGTATTACAATTTCAAAAAAATTAAAGGTAACCTAAAATTTTAATTTTTTAACAATATCTTTGACAGGAACAATGTGTGTCTAATTAAAGACAAATAATCATTAAAATAGTAATATTATTGAGTTTTAAATATAATTTTTCCCCAGTGCTGGACGCAAATCAACCCCTCGGATCCCAAGTGTGGACAAAGGGGGAGGATCAATCTCAGGATTCGAAGGGGTGCAGGAACACACGCACTCAGCATGGGATGCGTGTAAATTTCCAAGCCATTACAATGTCATGTCAGTGGGTCCTTGGAAGCACCCTAAACGGGAGGTAAAAGCCAAGGAAATGCACAAGGAAGTACCAAGGACAAGGGTTGAGCTTGAGGTTGAGCTTGCCTTGCTTGGGGGTTGTTTATGGACCAGCGAAGGTCTTTGGGCTGTCTTTGCCATAAGCTTCTGGTTATCCTCAATTTTTTGGGGCCATGTGCCAAAACTCATAACGTCGATCTGTCCCATTTCCATTCATAAAAGAGAATACAAAATTTTCGATCTTAAGGGGGTTGCAAAACTAAAAAAAAACTGAAATGTTTACTTTACCTTTTTATTTATTTACTTAATCAACTTGGAATTTTTAAAATTTCAATAAATAGCACTACGTTGTTAAAAGGAAATTCATGGAAAATATTGATTTAGCTTAAATAACTTAGCAAACGCGTAAATTAGATAAATTTGCATTTGTTAATTAAGTAGCACTGTCAAGTAGCTCTTTGTTAGAGTGCAAAAAAAATAATCTTAGAAATTGCAATTAATGCAAAGCGAAATAAAATAAAAACAGACCACGAAATGGCACACAAGGAATCGTGGATGCGAAGAGAGGGGGTAAATAAGAGGGAGTAAATAGCAGTGTCATGAATGAATACGATGTGCGGAAGTGTGTATGTGTGTCAACAAGAATGAGACAGGGCGATTGCTGATTGCGGTATTTGCATCTCCACCGTGTGGGAGCGAGACGAAAGTTGCAACGAACGACAAGCGCGTGCATGCGCCAAATGCCTGATTGAAATGGTACATTTCTACACGTTTTCTGCAGCTGGAAAGCTTTTCGCGCCAATTTTGCGCCAAGCAAATTGCAGTGCTGCAGCAGCAACAACAAAATCACAACAATCAGCAAAAGTAGCAGCAACAAACAAACAGGTTTTCCATCGGCTGACCGACAATTGCGGTTTGAAGGCGAAGGGCAAACCAGCTGAAAAAACCACGAAAATCAACAAACAAATGCAACCAACAACAAGTTTGTAGTTTTGCTTTGTTTTTGTTGTGGTCAGGAACGTTTTATGCTAATTAGTGGAGGCGGGGCAAGACGCACACTAACGCTAATCCCCTCCCCCACCTCCCACACACATACATACACAGTTTGTTACGCTTTGTTCGCTGTAACGAATACAGCAACAAAGCAAAACAGAATCACCATTTACATACACAAAAGTCGTCTATTGCTTACAAAGCAAAATTTTAGAATCCTTCACTCTTGCACATAACGTCACTTACCCGAACAGGTTTTATAGCCAACTGGATCAATGCACTTTTATTACTGTAATTATAACGAGTTTTCCACAATTTACACAGTTTATTTGCTGGTTTTAACGATTTTTAAGGAGCGACAAGCCGTCGCAGGTGTAGATGAAGACTATTTACCATTTGCTTTTGCTTTGCTATTCTACACACAGGGTTGCATAGGGCGCGTAAGCAGTGTTGCAGGTGGCAAGCAGATGGGTTGGCAGGTTGGCGGAATGTTCAAAAATTAGCTATCGATAGAGTTATCGGAAATATTTAATTGAATGTTAAAATAAAAAATCAGAAATTGCTTCCAACGCAAAAAAATAAAACATTATTTCCATCGACTTACCGACAATTCTTCCAAATAAAACAGTTAAGTATAAAACTGATTTTGTAGTTGCTTTTTAGCAGTTTACAGGCAGTTGTGAAATCTTTATTGCAACAAGTGAACAAATTATGCAGCCTTGATTTTACATATCCTCCACGCTGTACTTGTATGCCTCGTCCTGCACCGCTCGTCGTTCGCTCTGTTTGTCGAACCATCGCTGCTCGTAGCCATTGGACCGGTCCACGCCATCCCATCGATATCCCGGCCGGATGCCAAATCGGTTCTCCGGAAAGCTGCCCTCATATTTTGGCATCACCGGCTTGTTGTCCAGCTGGTCGCGTTTCTTGCGCTTCTCCCGCATGTACTCCAGCATCGGATCGTCGGCGTGCTCCTGCTCCCTGAGATGCCTGTCCAGATCCTCGTCGTTGGCGTAGCGAGCCACCGGCTTGGAGGCTTCGTGGGCCATCTCCTCTAGGCGGGTCTTGTGATCTCCGATTTGCTTCAGACCCTTGCCCCAGCGATCGTACAGCTCCTTCTTCTTCTTCTCGTGCTCCTCCTTGCGCCGCTGCTCTGCAGGATCCTCGTCGGCAGCCTCCCGTGCTCGTCGTCCCTTTCTCCCGGTGCTGCGCATCTGAACTTCACCATCTCGCCCGGAAACTTCACTGGACATGTTCTCAAACATATCGTGCTCTTGTCGCCTTCTTTCGTCTGTTTCCTTCTTCAAGGACTGTGCATCCTGCAGACCTGCCTTCTTGCCATCTAGAGTTTTAGTGGATTTCGGTTTGTGCGTTGGAGGCGGCGAAAGTGATTTGCTTGGCGATGCCTTTGCCCAGCGACTTTTTCTCTCTTCCTTGAACGGATTGCGTTGCGGAGAACTCTGTTCCCGATTTCTGCTGAAGGATGTCGGGGATTTCTCCCGTTTCCTGGGCGGACTTTGATCAGAGTCCCGTCTTCTTCGCGGTGGAGATTGATCCTCATTCTTAGGCTTTCTTGGTGGGCTCTGATCGGAATTCCTTCTCGGTGGCGAGTCATTGTCATATTTACGTCTTCTAGGTGGGCTTTGGTCGGAATCTCTTCTCTTGCGAACAGGAGATTGATCGTCGTCTTTCCTTTTCCTGGGCGGGCTTTGGTCGTAGTCTTTCCTCCTCCTTCTTGGTGGGCTTTGGTCAGAATCTCTTTTCCTTCTTGGTGGAGAATCATCCTTATCTCTGCGTCTTCTGGGCGGACTCTGATCGGAGTTACTTCTGCGATGCCTTGGTGGACTTTGATCGGAATCTCGCCTCCTTCTAGTTGGCGACTGTTTATCCTTTCGTTTTCTTGGAGGACTCTGATCCGAATCTCGTCTTTTTCGGGCTGGCGATTGATCTTTGCCTTTTTGTCTTCGTGGCGGCGATTGATTTCCACTTCTTGCTTTTCTGGGTGGACTCTGGTCGGAATTTCTACGTTTTCTGCGCGAAGGTGAAGGATCTGCATCCCTTCCTCTTCTCGGAGGACTTTGATCCGAGCTGTCAGCTCTTCGGCGACGGGGTGATTGATCCCTTTTACTGCGCTGAGCGCTCTTTGATGACCTTTTGGATCTTGCTGGACTCAAATCCCTCGAGCTGCTGCGTTTCTCCTGCTTAATTTTAACAGGTGGGCTTCTCCTGGAAGGAGAGAACTCATCTTTCACCTTAACCACGGTTGCCTTTCGTCCCCACATCTCTTGCTCGTCATCTATGGGCTCCTGCTTGATGCGAACACCAGAGGCTGGAGAGGATTCCTCGTGCTCCTCCTTGATTTCATCTTTGACTGCGATGTTGCGCCACTTGCTGCGCACATTGGGATTTTCCTCGATGTACTCGGCCACAATTTGGGGCGCATCCTCTCCGCCCAGCAGAAGATCCTCGTCCATTTCCTGGCCATTATCTTCGTACGCATCGTCATCAATGATTTTCACTTTGGCCGCCTTTTTGTGTTTCTTCTCCTTCTTTTTCTTCTTCTTCTCCTTGTCGCCGGACAGGTACTTTTTAAGATACTCCTTTTGGTCGATAATTTTTGCCTTTTGCATGGACATTTTCAAGTAATTTAAGCGGCAAATTGATAATTACAAAGGTTTGTTTACGTTTTTGGGAGGAAATTACAGCGGTGTGACCGTTTGCTGGATTTCCCAAAAAACCATTTTGTTGAGTGCCGGCTAACGCACAATGTTAACTTTTTTAAGTAGGTTGACATCCTCAAACGGCTACTTATTTGTTTTATTTTATGTTTTGCATTTTTCTTTTATCCTAGTATGTCATTATCAATGGTAACTTTTGCTAATAAAGCTTATATCATAACCATTTTGTTTTGTGCAACACAAATCATGTACAACTTTCTCAAGTAAATGTAGTTTAAAAGGATTATCCTGCGCGCCTTAGAGATGGACTGTTAACCCAAGAGGGGTCGATGACTTCCATATTTACCTTAAATCTTTTAATTCTACAAACATATTTAACAAACAAGATGTCTGATTGCCTAATAACAAGGTGTTAAGCCTTAAACCATAGTCATTTGTGAAATATATCGCTAAGACAGTGGCTCCGATAATTTGCAAGCTCCTGACCGCCGCACGTGCCCCATCTCTAACCATCTTTTTTTTTTCGTGAAGCTTCTTGCTTGGTGCAACGTGCTTTCTGTGCAAGTTTAAGTCAAAAACGGGGGAAAACTTTTCGTAAAAAATCGTAAAATAAGATCAGTCTTTAGCGGGAGTTTTTAACTTCCAGCCAGTGTCAAGGAAAAACTGCAATAAATTATCGTCGTTGCATGGGAGTTGTTCATTTGGCCGCCGGCCTGTGCTGGCGGCGTTATCGCCAGGGGATTAACTTCCAGGAGGATTCCTAAGGATGTAAGTACCAAGTAACAGAAGTAAGAGGCTTACAGCGCGGATTAAATCGAGCCACGCCAATTATTTGGCTTACTTCCTGAAAAATCTGAAGTGGCGCGTTCTCTTCAGGAGACTAAGTGGAAAGTGCTCGAGGCTTCTAGTGCCTTTTTGCGAAATCACATGGGTGGCGGTAGTGGGGGCTGAGTGTTAAAGTGACGTTTGAAATGAAGCGCAAATACAAAGAGGGCACACACAACAAAAGCGGCAAAAACAAGGACAGGCAACGGCGAGGGGGGAGGGGCACCGGGAGGGGCTGGGCGCCCACAACACATCACATTTTGAGTGCAAGAACCAAGAACGCGGGAATGGCATGCAAATTAATTCGCTTAACTGAGCTTTTAAAGCCCCTCTTATTATATTCCGTTGTTTTTGTTTCGTTCTCTCCATTACCCTTTTGCATTGTTGGCATTTCTTGTGCATTTTTTCGCTCGCATTCATGAAATTTAAAGCCCACGGCATGTTCTCTTTCTCTTTCCCTCTTGCACTCGACTCGCACACTTTTGTTGCCATCTCGCTTAGCTTCCTCTGGTTCTGTTTTGGTGCCGTCCTCGCAAAACAGCTGATGCTCTCGCAACGTGCTCTCTCTTTCGCTCCGCACTTGAATTCCTTTCGAAATTCTTTCCAAAGGTTCGAGTCTGCGCTCGGAGTAAATACCGCCCATTTCCCGCTTGCATGACATTTCAAAAGTTGCCGGAGCTGCCAGCCCTTTCCCCCTAGTTTTTGGGGCTAAAAATAACTAGCTTACCTTTCCGAGCATAAAAATGTTATTCATTCGCATTCTAATATGTCAAAATGAAATTTTATCAAGGTCCTTGGCTTCAAGGGGTATCCTTTCAGAGTAAACTATTTCCTTTTTTATTTTTTAATAAGAATTGCATCTCGTCTGGTGGGCAAGTTCCGGTTTCCTTATTTTAATACGATTTCCAGCAAATCGCAGCGTTTTAGGTTAAATGCACTTTCGCATTGTGTGCAATGAAACAATGGAATTATGTTGCAACTTGCAACTGTCATGCGCAACATTTCTGCCATAATGATGGGGCCTGTGCCGATAATTAAATCAGGCAAGGACTGCCGTCGGGCAATGATTCCATATTAAGGTAAATTGCTTTGCTAATGGCGAAAAATAAATATCCATAAATCAATTAGTCCTCTATTTGCTTTCTTTGCCATTAAGATTCGGTTACATGCACAAAGGGACAATTACTTTGCAACAATGGATAAAAATTCACTTTGCGAAAACAAACTGAACTGAATTTATTGGCTAAATAAACATTGCAAATCCTGACTGTTTAGGAAAATTTTACAACCTGAAGGGACTATATTTTTATATTAAGCTAGATTATCTTGACTGAATCTTTGATATATTAAGATCTAGTTTATTTACCAAAGGTTGTAGTACAAAATGTAGTCTCCCTTATGTAGAACTCATTTTAAGAATAATCGTTTTTTAAACGGAAATTGACAAAGAAAAGGGTACACTTTTTAAGGAAAGGCGGGAGGAGAACAACGTAATATATTTTTAAAGTGCATAATCATTTCCATGACACGAGTATACCTTTTAATATGTTTTCAAATGACTTGGCTGAGATGACACATTCAGTTTCTAGCAACAATAAATATGCAGAGCACATCGCTTTGTATTTAAAGCACACTAGTTTGGTTTTTGTTGTGAGTGAGGAAAATGTAGCATTGTTTTTTTTGGGGGTTGATCCTGCAATGTTCTTTTAGGAAAACTTTCGAGGAACTTATGAATTAGTTTTATTGTTTCAAGTAATTGAGATAAAGCCATTCGCGTCTAGTGCGCCGAAAAGTTAAAAGCCGTCTGAGGAAACTTGATAATAGCATCCTTTTCAACTTTGTACGTGTCAAGAATTTTCTTTGGCAATATCATCAAAATAGACTAGGTGTTACTTACGTAACTTTTCATCTTCATAATTTGTCGCATTATTTAAAATTCACTATCCTTGTTATTTAAAAAGGGAAAAATCATTCTTCTCCTTGAGAGTAATTTTAGCAACTCAATTTAAGGACCACACTTAAGAAACAACTTAATTAACGTACATAAAGCACAACTTTGCGGGTCCATTTTTATTAAATTTGACGGCAGTTTGGGGACCTGCAAGTGGAATCGGCGACAATAACGAATTTACCATAATTAATTTTTGAGAGCGGCTTCCATAAAGGAAACGATTTTTTTTAATTGATGGCAGAAGTTGGATGTGTGAAATCATCCTTGGTTGGTCGTTGTCGTTATACAAAATATATTATTCGCTTTTAAAGCCAGAAAAATGTTTAATATTATATAGTTTTGATTGATAGGTTTTATTTTAAAACATGAAACTTTATTTCACATTCTGCAATCCACCTCGGTTTGAGTCTGCGCTAACACGTCATTACGATTGCTTGCGGTATAGTTTCGTTTGTTTATCAGTGCAGCTGACGTCGACGTCGGCAGAGGGAGAGAGTAGCAGAGGCGCTGCGTTGCTGTTTACAGGCAATGTTATGTTTATGTTAAGATTCAGTAGTCGCCGTTCAGGAATTTAACAGAAGCGGTTTTATTTCAATACACTTGCCGGCTCTCTCGTTCTGTTAATTTTGGGCGATTAACAGAGATTGAGCATGTAGTTAACATAAACAGATTGCTTTGAGCCTGTTAAGTGCAGCCGTTCGAACAAAAGTGGTTTGCTCGCAGAAAAACGGTTTCTGTTCGATTCAAATTTCAAACGCGACGGTTCACCCGAGAAAGAGAACGCTCAAGAAACTATGAGTTTGGCGCTACGCGAAGAATTCGAAATATTCAATCGTACAAGATATACAGCAATCGTAGCTCAAAGTTTTTTAAATTGAATCGCGCCGCATTTTGTTTTTCGTGCAATAACGGCAATCAAAGCCAATTGGAGAAGTAACGGAAATCTGGCCGGCGTACTTAATTCCGGTGCATGTGTGCGTTTTTCTGCATTTAATTCATCAATTTAAATTCCTGGCCCCACACATGTGTGCGTGCGTATGTGTGTCCGTCTGATTGTGCAAGTGTGTGAGCACAAATGCCGCCGCCAAAAATAATTTGATCATTTCGAGAAAATCTCACATCGGCTGTAACAACAACAAAAAAACCAAACACAACAGAAAAAACCCACTAAAATCGCTTTTTTCTAGCGGTTGATCCGAAAGGCTAGAAATTTCGCCAGAGTTTATTTTTGCTCCACAAGGGCAGGTGTACGGGGTGCTTGTAGAATTTTGACCGAAAACTGAATAACGGAAGTGGGGGAAAATCTGTTTATAGCTTTTCCACCACACGATAAAGTGTAGACTTTGCTCCGAAGACTGAAATACGGAAATAGAAGCGCGATATCGGAGCGAAAATTCCCCTGCTGAGATGTAGATTTCTAAAATAAAACTAAAACAAAAAAAATAGTGGAAATGCTGTAATGCGTGTAGACTTTTATGCTATATGAAACATGTGTAGACTTTTTCCGAAATCAGAAATCCAATGCCTTAGTCATTCAGAGACTAAAATCTTGAATTCCTCGTGATTTTTTTTGGCGCATTAAAAACGAAATAGAAACAGAATAAGAAAAACTAAAAGCAGATAAAAAAGCCCTATAAGTTTTAAACCAAATGTTCACCAGAAAAGTTAAAACAAATTCACATCAAATCGTTACGTTCGGTCTTAAGTTTTAAAACTGAAAAGTAGAAAAGCCAAAATCAAAGAATTAAATAACAAAAACTTCACTTGCGTCTCGATTGTGTTTAGTGTAGTTTCGAAACAGAAAAACCGAATTCCTGGGTTTAGCGTAGATTTTGAAAACAGAAAAGCAGAAAGAAAAACTAAAGTCCGAACGAACGGCGTTTGTTTTTCCACCGCTAATGAGCTTGGTGGCAAGTTATATATTCTGATTCGGTTTCTTGTTGGCCTACTAAAAGAAACTGGCCCACACGAACACTCGAACTCTCACACATACTCACGCACCATGTCTCAGGCGGCGAAAGGTTTCTCAACCGATCTGTTTCTCATGTCTCTTTCTGGCCCATTCTGGTTTTTTAGGTCTCCACCGCCGTCTACTCGTGGTCAAATCGAAAGCACCGTCATCGTTAGAGAGCGCAAAAAAACAACAACAAAAAACTAAGCAAAGCAAAAGCAAAAAGAAATAAAAAAAAAAGCTAACCGTATAAACAAAAGTACAATTCGTGGGTGTTTCGTGTGAAAAACTGGCGCTAAAATCCGCTATAAAAGGGCTAATTACAAAATTATAAATAACCGCTAAATTCGAATAAAAGAAACTAACACAGAATGAGTTCTAACCGAAGGAGACGAGGCAGCTTTTCCGGCGCAAGGAGCGTCGGTGTGAAGGAAAAATTCAGTGCAACTGCGCCAGCAGCAGCTGCAATTCCACAATCCAAAGAGCAACTTTCTCTGCCGGCCGATGAGGATTTACTGGAAATGCCACGCATATGCCGCTGCTGTTGCAAACGGGATTTGGAATTACTCGGCTTATTCGAGGCAAGCCAACCGACTTTGGCCGACACATCAGTGGCAGTGGCAGGAGCAGCATCACAAGCAACAATATCATCATCAGCATCGAACAAATCATCGGGAACATCAGCAAAAACATGTGCGACAGAAACTCCAGGGACATCAACATTGTCTGCAAATCCCGTAAATCCCGGGTCTATGGCAACATCATCTCCAGCAGCAGCAGAAGAAGAAGCAGCAGCAGAAGCAGTAGCAGCCACATCGTCCGCATTGCTGACCACACCCACTCCCATGAGGAGCCGCACCACACTTACCACCACCACCACCATCACCACCTCCAACAGCAGCAACAACAGCAACAGCAACAACCCAAACACCACACCCAAATATCCTCGTGGGCGAAGCAGCGATAATGCCGTCGACTACACACTCAGTGGGACTCACAGCAGCATGGACATTGTCCTCGAGGAGATGACCATTTGGATGCTCAATGTAAGTAACACGCTCACTCACTCACTCAGTCACTCATACACACACTTATACATATATAGTAGATGCTTACATGCTCACATGCTCACTCATGTCCTTATAGACCAAGCCACCCACCCACCTAATCAAGTCCTCTTCAGAGCATATCGGAAAGTTTCTATGGGTTGTCTTTAATTTTTAATGTGATTTATTCCTATGAACACCACGCGTGCACACGCACTCGGAAAAAAAAGAAAATAATTTAAGTAGCCGGCTCGCAATGAGATAAACTAATAAAAGCCACACATGTAGCCACAAAGTTGAACCAATCAAGTGGTTTACCCTTTTTGCAGCCTGCCCTGCAGCCTGATGCAAAAGTTCTATAAATAGGAAATGAATATTTCCTTCTATTAATAGGAAATGTCAGTGAAATCTCTGAAAACTTTGACATCGGTCGGTTGGGCAATGTGTCGTTCAAGAGCTTCCGTTCATAGCAGTCTGGTTTTATTATTTGATTGTGTTTGAATATGCTTAAAATGTATTTGAAATTCTTTTACATTAGTATTTGATTATGGCTTGGAATAATAATTTTGTTAGTATTTTGTAAGGCGTTTTATTTTATTTTGTCTTTCATTCTATGGAATGTTTCCAACTCAGTTTGTTTTTGACTTACGTTCGTACAAATTCTTGGTTAGTTAATTTGATTATATTACGAGCTTTCAGAACAACAAGATTAAATAATACCTATTCCTCTTAGACCAATAATTAAAAACACGTTTAGTGCTTACGACTAATTAAATTTATTCTATTCCCTCGCTAGCTGGTCTACAAACCTGACTTTTTTGCGTGTAAATTCCCCAGACATTTTCGAGTCCCTCATCTGACTCACTATCCCAAGAATGGGAAGAACATAGTTGTACTCTGTACTTTAGTACACTGACATGCCTCTGTTACTCCTTTGTCTTCTGGGCTCCCTCATATGTTATTTTCCCTAATGCAGGCAAATAAATTAAATTGTCTGGCCATTCGCAACAGCCAAAAGTAAATAAATAAGGCCTTATTTATAATGCCGCAGAAGGGTTTTAAACGTTTCCCCATGCAATTTGCTACCCGGCGATATGGTAATATCAATTTTGGAGCAGAGGCAAAGTCCCCATCCAGACCATTACATATACATATGTATATGGAGGTATTTATATACGTAAAGAAGGCAGAAGATAATCCATTATCTTATCGCCAACACGTTTCGGTTTTTCATTTTATTGACTCTAATTCCACTTCATTTTTCGGGTTTTATGAGTGCTGCATTAAGATAGCGCTGGTTCCAATTATTTATTTGATTCATCTAACTCGTATTTTGTTGTTGTCACAACGGAACTTTGCTCGCCGGCTGACCTTTTTGTTCAACGACTGTCAAATTTTATGACTGAATGGAAATGCGATTCATAATCACTGCCTGCCTACCCAAAAAAGGTCATCGGAACATTCATAAAAGAAAGTATTGAGTTTTGAATTGCATTCTGCGAGTCACGTATAAATACAGCCTTCCTTTTTTCCATTCATTAGCTCCTTCTTGATTTTGTGAAGAGAAAGCTGTGAGAAAAAATCGTCACATTCTCGTATTCCATATTTCATTGTATTTCATTTATACCAGCTCTTATCGTTGGTAAATCATGGTTTCTTCTTCTTTTATCACTGAAAAAATCTGTATAATTGTTGTTTTTTTTTCCTTTTTTTATCGTCTCCGACTGAGCTCATACCGCCCTAATCAAAAGCCAAACAATTTGTTTGCTTTTCAGATTGCAAACTCTACCTGCTAGCTGCTTCACCTGAATGCGAACAGTTTCTGTGTGGTGTTTCTCTAAAGATTAGTGATACCACGTTGGATATTTGATATTTTAAGGGTATACCGAGTTTATACTAATTTAGTTTCCTTCGTCCAGCAAATATTGTTGTTGCCTATTTGCTATTCCTCACTTTATGCCACATTGCGTGCCACACTGCCAAGCTGTAAGCCAAGTTTGCATGTGTGCACGGCTCCAGGGCCCCATAAACCTTCAACGAATCCGGGTGGAGCCCTTTGTTTCTGGGCCACCTAAAAGAGGGGAAGGGAAAGGGAAAAGGAAGGGGTTGGGGATGGAGTTCCTACCTGGACTTGGCTAAAATCTTGGCTTAATGGCGGCGTGGCTCTAATTGCCAAGAGTGGCCAACGTCAACGTTACTTTCTGGCCAATTATACGGCACCCGCTATTTTTCTTTTGGCCCATTGAGGGGCAAGCCGTCAGCAGTGCACAGCCAAGAAGCCAAGAATCCAAGTATCGAAACAGCAACAACAACAACAACAACAAGAAACAGCAACAACAAACAGCAGCAGCAGCAGCAGCAGCACCTCTGACTTCCAATGCGGCTTTTTCTGCTCCCCTACTCATTACCAATAAAAGTCGCATGGGGAAACTGGTTTTTTATTTTCGAGCCTTTGGGGCCGAGTCGAGTGTTGTGTGTGTGTTGAGTTGGTTTGGCTGCTGGTGTTGTTGTTGTGCTATTCGCTGGGGGAACTACTATAGTTGCCGGCGGTGGTGACCGTTGATTCTCAAGGTGTTGCATGAAAAACACTCTGACCTTAAATCACTGCCGTCTTGAAACTGAAAACTGAAACTCGAACTCGGATTCGGAATAGGAATCGGAATCGGAATCGGAATCGAACTCGCCGCTCCGTTCCGTTCATTATACAATTTAACCGGCAATCATACACATTTATTCAGCCGTGTATTCATTATTGTTCCCCAAAGCGAAATGATAAACCAGATTTCGGTTGGAGTTAAGAATTCAAATGCGTACTTGAGGGCTTGGGGGCGGCGTCTTCTGAATATATCTTAATGACCCTTTTTTTTTGGCTGGCATTATGAAAGTGCAAGAATAACACGTAATAAGGTTACATACAAAATAAACCCGGTAAACAAAACAAAAACAAAAACAGGTAGTGTGTAAAAAAAATCTTAACGATATGGAACGTTGGCACGCCACAAAAAAGCGGATTTATGATCTTGCATTTAAATTGCTTTCTTGATTTGCTTTTAATTGAGAGAGCCGCTTCACAAAAGAATTTCTTGAGTGTAAACACCGAGAGTGTAGTATGATAATTTTTGAGGCGGCTTCCGGGACTCCAGCTTTGCCTGCCAATTGAAAGGCTAAACAAAGCGAAAGACTTTCGTTTTTTGCATGGCAAACTTTCTTTTGCAACTGAGACGCCCATAAAAAGTTCACTCTCGTTCGTTAGTCGCCGCATTCATGGCCTGGCCTGGCACTTACTCTTTGCTCCTCGCACAAGTCTTAATCATCAATGGAGTCGTGACAGGGGCCAGCGATTAAGCCACCAGTCGGATTAATTGCCGGACAAATCTCTCATTAGGCCGCCAGGCAATTACCCGGCTTTTACGACACCCATATAAACCGAACAACACATGATATATATAATATACTCGTATATTTGTATACAATGCCGTTAAAAATACAGGGCAATCAATCAGAAAGTGTGTAGATTATCTATGGACAGAGGCAATTAGATAGAACTATCTATCTATCTATCGGTTACCTTAACTAAGTGCATATATGCATACTTGACGATGACATAAGTCATCATGCAGGCCTTTATCAATACGGTTAACCTTATCATTATTTAATGAAGTGAACAGTATTATTATCATTTATATCATCGCATTTCCGACCGATTGTCTCCGGCCATTTAAAAGCACCTTCAATTGACGTTGATGATGATTACACGCATATCATTCGACAGCGACTAAAACGTAAAGCTCGAGCTTATTTATGTGCCAGGGTCGGTAACAATTCCCCGAAATCAGGAATCGGAGAAGGCCACTGTGAGCGAGAGGTGTAAAAAGTAGTTTCTCAAAAAACTGATCCTTCCCGGCGATCTTGGAGATAAATGCGATGAGAAGCAAGAGACAGAAAACATTTAAATTTAATTACCCAGCAGACGGGCCTATAAGTATACATATTTCCCACTCGGCGGCGGTGAAAGTTTCTCCTTGAATTAAATGATTTCTTTTTGTTTGCCTCTTCATTTTTTATATTTTTTTGTAATCTTCGAACGAAAATGAATGGCGAGAGGGTACTTTTCGTATCGCCATGTGGTTCAAGTTTAAAATTGTGGGGCAGCAGATTAGCTTTGTGTATTCGGCTGTGGCCACCTTATCTACTTCTCTAAACATTCTGTTGACTTGACAACCATATAAACAAGCTTCCAATGTATGACGAAAAATAAACGGAAAACAAATACGATTTTGCAGCGAGGTTTGAGGGTGTTTGTTTATTTTATTTCATTTCGTATGGCCAACCAATTATGAAAGTTATTTATATGTCTGTCTGTCGGTCTGTCTGCTGGTTTTTCGCCAGCAGAGACCCAGTTTGTAAACTAGGATTTGGCAACATTGTATTTGTTGCAATTTTATTGGACTCTTTAGCCCAGCCAGTTAGTCATTCGTTCAGTCAGTCAGTAAGTCAGTTAGTCAGTTGCCACCTTATTAAATATGAATACCAATCCGCTACCGCATTTGAATTGGGGCTCGTAACGTGTCGTATAAATTAACAAGCCATCAAACAAAATAAAACAAGCGTGGCAGCCAATCGATTGAGATGAAATCAAATCAAAACAAAACTAAACAAAACAATATATTCCCTTGCGTCACATATACACTATATAGTATTTCATGTGCCTGACCTCTTTTGAGGAACTAGCAAAAACGACGTCGTCTATGTCGACTATTTAAATGTTTTAGACGAACGATCGCGAGATAGTCAATTAAAGCAATGACAGGGACGGGGGCACTAATCGCGGCTAATTCGATTTAAAACATTCCGTTTCAAAGGTCATTTCTCTTTCATAAGTTGTAATTAAATTCATGATCATACTTTTATCTGGGGTAATTAGCGTTCGCTTTAAATAATGCATATATGGATATCAATGGATATCCGCTTTTATGCAATATTTGATTTGATTTGATGCA